TATTAATATTTGCTCCATTGGTAATGAGAGCTTCGACGATATCCGCATGATCTATTCGGAATATAAATCGATTAAAATTAATCTCGTTTTGATATTTATTAAAAATCTCATAGTTCGAGTAAACTAAGTAATATGGAAATTAGTATTGAGGGGTCTTTTGTGAAGCAAAACCTATTCAATATGTTACCTTCTGCAATTGCACGAAGCAATAGTTGATCGTCATTTAGCTCGGCTCCATTTCGAATAAGAATTTTTATAATTGACAAATCACCTAAAAGTATGATTTGAGGGGAATAAAAGGAGGAAGATCTGTAATAGCGACTTTACTCATGTCTTTAGTAACTTATGCTATTAGAGATAATAATCGGGGAACGTAAAACGCCTGAAGCTTTACGCACACTACTCCTGTAAGACTCTTCATCTAAATGTATATTCTTTTTAATTCACAATACACAGAAAAAATATCTACCAACTATTTTCATCACCAAATTGATATCAGAATTTTTGTGTTTCAAATTTTGTTTCCGTCATTCGTTCTTCATCTCGACAGAGGTTTCTTTTTTTGATAGACTGAACAAAAATATTTTTGTCTTAAAAATCTTAGGAATTTAAAAAGAGATCTCGACTGATATGTCCATCTCAGTGTAACAACATTTAACACTGCTATTGAGGTCAACCATCACGGTTTATCTATCTATTTTACATTTTTCTGCGTTTTTTCTGCATTTTTGTTTTTCTGCGTTTATTGTGCTGCATTTTTGGTTTTCTGCGTTTATTTTTCTGCATTTTAGTGTTTCTGCGTTTTTATTTTCTTCGTTCCGTGAAGGAACCTAATGATGTGACACTTTCAACAGGCTATTCTGTTTGATTGAAATTTCTTTAAACTTGGTGTGATTATTTATTTTGATAAGAAAATAATATTCACGATCTTTCACGGTAATTTAAGTTACTGCAATCATACATAGACCATAATTTCAGTTTATTCCCAAGATTTCGGTTCCATGCGGAAAAGTCAGCTTGCGTACGTAAGCCTCTTTATTTTCGATAAAATACGTAAAAAAAATCATACCAAAACTCAAAATTAATATGGCAAGTGAGCCACCAGTTCTACCCTAGGGCCATACAAGCATTCTGGACATTACAAATTCCTCATAATTCTTCATAGAATCCATTCATGTTCATACAAAAGTGCAATTTTACCGATTTTGAGCGAAAGGTCCAAATTGATTTTGAAACTGAACCATTTTTATACAGATACACCATACACCATTTGGTTGGATACACCATTTTTTCAACGATGCAAATACCACATTCCCCACCTAGTTTACAGCGGGTAATCGAATGGAAGTGGTTTTACAGTGATTCGACAACATTTAAGGGTTGAGAACTGGCCCGGTATTCAAAGTACTTTTCAACTTTGAAGCATTTTACCGGTCGAAAAACTCCCGGAACAAAAGTTGTTTGTCTTGATGTACTCTATCGGAAAATGCATAGTGCATACCCATCTTGAGTATCTGTCGATTCAAAAATTCGATGACCCCTGATATATATAGCTCCAGAACAAAAGTCAAATTTTTCTATATAGTGCAACTATTCGAAAATTTGTCATATTCGAGATTATTATTTTTAATCCGGCAGTCGTGAAACTTTGGGAAACTTATTTTTTCTTCAAAAAAACTGATCTGTACAAATATTGTCCGTACCAATGGAAGGATGTGAAGACTTCAAGTCTCTTTGAGCCAACGGTGGCGCCCCGAATTTCAAAGGGAACGTCAATGTAATTTAACAACTCAAATCGAAACTAAACAGCGCGCAAATTTTAAAACTTGGTGTCATTTCCTCCCATTGGTCCGTACGAGCATCGAGCAGTAGTGTTTGGTAATTTTCATGATCTGGTCTGACTACGTTTGAAAATAGTTCCGCACATGGTAAAGTAAAATTAATGAAAACTCATGTATATATGTATCGATTACTCAATGATTTTTTATTATTTGAGATTTTGATAATAATAAATTATTGTTACAATGTTGTAATATATGGATTTTTTGCCGTAACTCTAGCCTCGTTCTCTTCCATGATCCCTTGGATTATATTTTTCTGTTTGATCCAATGCTCTTTCCAGATTACTATAAAACATGAACAAAATAAAAAGGTTTCAAATTTGCATTCACATTCAAATTAAATACAACTCACAAATAATCCTCCATAATGTCGCCATTGAAGTCGTTCATCTTTTGCTGTGCACTAAGTGAATGATTCAAAAGTAATATTAGGACCGACCAAAGTTATGTTTCTATTACCACAAATAAACTTACGCTGCAATGTCATCATTTTGACTATAATGCGCCAAAAACAAACAAATATTGGTTAATGATTCATCCGTTTTATTAATTTAAAGCTTTTTTCAAACTTACTCGACAAGATTATAGTGTTTCAAGCTAAGTAAAAGCAATAAACATAATAAAAACAATTAAAATTTGGATTTTTTTCTGTGTTAATAAAAATATTAAAATTTACCGGCTCAAAAAGAAATTTGCTTTTCTTCCATCAAGCACTTGCAAAACCCTGGAATAAATAATTCAAAATTAATAAATTTGCCTTACTGAGAATTGATGATCAATATAAAACGTACAGGTTCCGCAAATGAGACGTTATAGCAGCACTATATATTTGAAAAGAAATAATTATTTAATGGAACAATGATCGTTTAATTTTTCTTAGTTTATTATTGAGTGAACTTACGATGATTCGCTAGAAAAAGATACAAAAAAAACATTTAAGTTAATAATGAAGCTTTTGAAATGCAAGAGATGAACATTTTGAATAATTTCTATTACTCAATTTACCTGGCCATCATAGTGACAGCAACAGCAGCAAAAAGAATGACGAATGAATATTTCATGTCGCTTCGGTTTGATCTCAAACAAAGTTCAGAAACTGATGAACTTAGATGAGTTTCACCTCAGTTTTATAGGAAAAATCAACACGTCAACTCCTATCTAATTTACTTGTAGATGACATGGAATTTTGCAATTGAACGTTACGATGTAATTTTACAGTGAAATTCTGATATAAAATTAAATGTCTGTTTTCATGAAAAGCGAATAATACGTTCAACATCACATTCTGTGCACATGTTACACGTTTACACGTGTATCACTTCGAAGTAAAAATAAAAACTATAGAGAAACCCGAGTGGAACAGAATGTATGAGACTTGAGACATAGCTTCCGAAGTTTACTCTTCTAAGAGACCTGAAGAGACATTGGAAATCGAAAGAATTTTTCTCGTCAAAAAATCCTAGCAAATTGGTCGATGATCATGTCTCTGTCAAAAAGTAGGGACCTGAAATAATAGTTTTCAACGCATTAAGCCCCGCGGCCTTTAGTTAACTATAGATTTTTATTAACTGGTGTTAATTAAAGTTGTCAATTTTTCCAGTAAATTTCTCCCAAAACAGTCTGCCACCTTTTTTTATGCACACGGGAACCTATTTTTGTCATACATTCTCATTTCGCAAGTTGAATACAGAAATTCGTTGATAATAATGCAAACAAAACACATACGTGTTACGACCTATTTTTGACGCGTTCGACTCATTTTTCTGAACGCTATTATCAAAAACATGTAGAAGAAGAATATTTAGATATTATTCTTAAATTTCAACGCGTCATTTCAAGATATTGTAAAAGATATGAAGAATTTTCTCAGCCTATTGGTTACTGAAAATTTGCATTAGAAATTTGAAAAATTGTAATAATGGCCTTACATTCACACAAAAAACAGTAGTAGTAGAATTGTTCAAATGTATTGGTATATTGCAGCAGAGCAGTTGGCATTTGGTCCATCGCGCCAAAACAAGTTTCAACTATGCTGTTGTAGTGACGATTGTATGAAAATATCAATAGATATTTTAACAACTATTGGTAAATTTGCAATATGCTTATCTTTTTATCATTGCACATTGTAACAATAAACAATAATAAAAATACATTAATAAGTAAAGTAGCATTAATAAGTATATATCGATTATTCAAATATATTTTATTATTTGAAATGTTGAAAATTCATTGTTACAATATGTTACATGGTTCTCATCTGGATCATATTGACCTGTTTGATCTATTGCTTTTTGCAGATTACTATAGTTTTATGAACAAAAAACAAAACTTACTCAGCATCGCCATTGTATTCTCTGGTCAATCATCTAGAGAATTGAATCAATATCGTTTTATTTCAAAAAATTATCTCATTTCTCTTGAGTCTCTTGTTTAGCCATGGCTTCTTGGAGCTTCTCAAAGAAAAAGTTGTCCTTTTCGGCCCACTGGTAAAATGTAAATTGGCCAGTGCCTGTGGCAAATATGTTGGCTCCGTATTGAATTAGTAATTTTGCTATTTCTCGATTGTTTGAAATTGAAGCTGGAAAAAATAAAATTTGATTAAATTTCAAGCGAACATTTCCATCATCTATCAATCACATCTATTACGATTAAGGGCAGCATAATAAAGTGCTGTGCCTGAATTGTCTTTGGCATCTATGTTCTCAACACCTTTCTCCAGAATCAGTCTTATCACCTGAATGTCTCCTACAATACAATTTGTAGAATTATTTAATTTCAAAAAATTAACTTTTCTTGATTGAAAACGCAATAACGATCATGATTAAAATTTAAGAAAAAATATCAATATACCTTTGAGAACGGCGGCATGCAATGGTAATGCTTTTGTATTAATATTTGCTCCATTGGTAATGAGAGCTTCGACGATATCCGCA